GTGGAAGAAAGAGAAGAAAGAAGGACAAGGAAGGGAGAGGGAAGGGAAGAGAAGGAGTGAAGAAAGGAAAAAAGGAAAAGGGAAGACTAGAATGTATCCTATGGTTTGGGGCTAAAATGGGAGATATTAGGGGCACCTGGATGGCTCAGTCAGTTAAGCATCCAACTCTTAGTTTGGGCTCAGGTCATGATCTCAAGGTTCATGAGTTCAAGCCCCACATCTGGCTCTATGCTGAAGGTGAAAAGTCTGCTTCAGATTCTCTCTCTCTCCCTCTCTCTCTCCCCCTCCCCTGCTGATACACTCCCACTCTCTAAATAAATAAATAAACAAGCTTTAAAAAGTAATAAAATGGGAAATGTTAGTATGAATACCTACTCTTAATATATCTATATACAGATACAGAAATATAGATTTGTGTATATTATATATAAACCTTGCATATATTGTGTACATACATACATGTATCTAGTGCATACATACACGTATCTGAGAAGGCCCAGATGTTTCAACAATGCCACTCAAGTAACAATGAGCATCTAGCTCCCAGATACTGCTTTGTAAATACCATTCTCTAATAAAAAGGAAGCAGGGCTCCTTGGAGAAATGGCTGACTCCAGTATTACGGCAAGGAAAGTATAAAATCAACCTGAAACATCCTGTAGCACTAAAGAGTAAGGAAGTCCTCAAAAAAAAAAAAAAAAAAAAAAAAAAAAAGGTGGGACAGATCAAAATGACACAGGAGCCAGCTGCCAGCTTCAATAAGTTCCCAGTGGTCAAATATGGGGCAATTTGACCAATAATATAAAAAATGAAAATAACTGATTATAGCTTATAAAATAAAATGAGAATCCATGAGGGGTGCTGGGATGGTTCAATAGGCTGAGCATCTAACTCTTGATTTTCACTCAGGTCATGATCTCATAGTTCATGAGTTCAAGTCCTATGTTGGGCTCTGCACTGACAGGGCAGAACTTGCTTGGGATTCTCTCTCCCCCTCTCTCTCTGTCCCACCCCACTCATGCTTCTCTCTCTCTCTCTCTCTCTCTCTCTCTCTCTCTCTCTCAGAATACATAACAAACTTTTTTAAAAATGTGGGAGTGGCTTTACAACCAGGTGATGGACAAATAGAAAAATTTGAAGATGTGTGATAAAGAAAGCCTAAATTGTCTTGAATAGACTGTGAGTGGAAATGTGGAGTTTGGTGACAGTTCCAGTGAGGGCACAAGAGGAAGTGAGTAACACAGACTGGAAACTGGAGGAAAGAGAATGTAATGTAAAGGCAGACAGCTAAGTCACACATCCACAGTTACATGGGAAGCACAGTCTACCTACTGAACTGGGTGATCTGCTGCAGGAAATTTCCAAACAGGTGTTGAAGGTGCCTCTTGGTTTCCTCTTGCCACAAGAGGAGAGGTACACATTGAGTAAAGGGTGGTTAAACAAAAGAAACCAAGACTTGAGAGCTATGAGATGCCTGGCCTCTCCAGAGGGTAAAGATGTTAACACTAGGAAATGGCTTCTAAGCAAAGACCAGGGCTTAGAGATCTGTGGGCTTTTGTCTAATGGGGTGAACCCCAGTGGGAGCCACAGAAGGCTGTATGGTCTTGTGAGAGAACACAGTAGCAGACACACTGCTAGCTTAGACTGAAAGGATACAAAATGAAATGGAGCCATTGGACGTCCAAACTTGTGCTGACAGGAAGCATATGAGAAAACTCCCTGGCTGCAGAGATATGCAGCCTTTCATGAAAAACAACCTCAGAGGAAGAGCCAAGAAACATGGAGAATTAATTATTCCTGAAGTTGAGGTAATAGAGGGAATAAGCCTAAGGTGAGGAGGAGGGGGGATGGTCAAAGAGTGGGATCCTTGAAACTGAACTTATAGACAGAGCATGCTTACCAGTAATGACAAGGTCTAGAGTAGGTCCACGAGAATGGGTGAACCAGGTCAGGTGAAAAAACAAGAATAGTGAAAGAAAAGCCTTTAAGAAATTGATGATCATCCATATAGAAGTGGAAATCACCAAGAATGGTGACAGGGTAACAGTAAAGAGACAAGGTAAACTAGGTATTAGCAGTTACAAAAGTCTAAACACCTTGGATGACCCTTACTTATTCTTCCACTTCAATTTCTCACCATCCCCCAGCTTTACAACCCAACCACACTTAACTTTTCTTGTCCACAATGTCCAGATGTGACTGTGGGGCTTTGCAAATGCTCTTCATTCTACCTGGTTCATTCTCTGCCCCCTTGTAACTCAGGCAGATAACTTCTAGTACCTGTATATGTTTTCACAAGTCCCTATGTTTATTACATCACAGCACTTTCAAATTATTATGTTCTCTGTCTTTACTGTTAGCTCCAGAAGGGTGAGGGCTGTGTCTGAGTTGTTCAACATGGTTCCTCACACTGAACTCAGTGGCTGGTGCACACAGTAGGATTTTTCTCCCAGGTCAAAGGTAAAGCGTCTAAAGAAGTAGCCTATTTCTATGGTATCTCTCCTTTGGATTCTTTGACAAACATTAATATCTGAGCTCAAACAATGCTTTCCCTTAAGGGACATATTTATAGAGCTTTAAATCCCTTATAAATGTTAGGTTTTGGTTCCTTTTAAAAACCATTCTTATTTACACATGGAAGCATTTGAAAGATTTCTCTCATGAACTCTAATGTCTGCAGAAGGGCATTTTGATTAAAAACTCTTCTTACAGTAACCACCTTTATGGGTTTTCTCTTCCATGGAAGTCTTATTCATTAAACTGACCATCTCTTCCTCATGATTTGAGGAGTCTTATTTAAATTATTTAGAGATACAGTGCCCAGAGATGCAGACAACACAGAATTTAAGGCAGAAACAGCATTGACAATTGGTAAAGTGGATATATTAACCCAATCATACAAAGGAGAAAACAATTAATATGGCAAAAAGGAGTAAGAAAAAAACCCACAATGTTCCTCCAACTGCATGCAATTATGACAAGTTTTCCTGTACTGATATTTTTAGAAAATTGAGTTCAAAACAAAAGCAGGTCAAAAGAATCTGCTAAATTCATCATGTGAGTAAGTTGAAAAATCTAGTTAATTTATCATAATTTTCTCATTTTCTGAGTCTGACCCAGAAAAACCATCATGTAATGAATAGACCAATGGTTACCTGGCTGACTGAAGTGAAGTGAAAATTCTCAACTGTAACTAAGTTACTATGCAATTTTGTAATGTTCCAATATATTCATGTATAGTTTTTTCTAAAAATGCAGACCTCAAGACTTAACTATAGTCTATACATAATAGTAAGATTTTGATAATAACAAAATGTAAATACTTGCACATGGTCACAGAGCTCTTAAACCAAGCATGCTGCCCTAGCTTGCTGACAATATCTGAAATTCTCTTGAATGGGCACCCAGTGAGTTTTTGATCACCATCCAAAATATTTAGGTCATCGTAGGAATGTGCTACATTGCAAAGTAATTCTTTTCTGTGAGCTAAAACCTATTTTGCTCAATAAAACAGGAAACTTTCTGTTCCAAACTTCAAATATATCTTTATCTACCACAGTGCTTCCTTTCTTTCCTCAGTACTCAAGGTTGAGGTGAGCTTCCTTCATTTTAAGACCAACCTTTCACCTGTGCTTTTTTCCTGGAACTTGTTTATTTAAATATTCACACTCTGTTATAGATCTTCAATAGTCCCCCTTCTACTATATCTTCAAACTTTCCCTCCCTGCTGGGTCATTATCTAGAAGCAAGCTCACTCTCTCCAGTCCTTTAAACGCCCACCCTTGGCTGTGCATTACCCATTATTCCTCTATCCTTCAAACTTTACAACCTCCACTACTTTGGGGGACTCTAGAGGTTTATAGCTCAGTCATTTCTATTTTGCACATTTTTCTAGGTTTCCTGGCTGCCCAGAATTTTGTGCCGCTGAAACACTGGCAGCTAGGGCACCTTTTCACCAATCAGATAGTCCCCTTCAGGATCCTCGCCTTAATGTGAATTGCACAAAGAAGCAAAGGCTAGCAGGGCCTTCTACAGTCATCTAGAATTAGAATTCAGCTGCACAAGTTATCCCCACCTAAGGCTTCCACAACAATCTTGTGTTCCCATGGCTTCATGTGCCTCCCAAACAGACAAGAGTAACCACTAAAACTGAAGCCCTATACCTATCTGCCCCAACCACCAGCCTGTCATGCCTCAAAGGCAGAAATCATTACTATCTTTTTTTCTCAGCATCTTTAAGTTTCTTTCTTTACAAATTATTTTTATTGGGGTAAAATATACATAGAATTTATCATTTTGAGTATACAGTTCAGTGACAGCAGTACATTTACACTGTTGGGTAATATAAATCCAATTCCAGAACTTTTCTCATCTTCCTCAACTGAAACTCTATACTTATTCAAAGAGGACCTCCCATTGCCCCTACCCCTAGTCCCTGGTAACTACTATTCTATTTGACTCATGTTTATATGGACAGTTTCTAGCATGTCGCCCCTCAGTGGTATGATCCCAATAACTGCAGAACTGAAGGAAATGAGTCTCTTTCTCCTTGAGCATCCCACAAAAGGACAAATTAGAAAAAAAAATTTAAAGAGCTAAAATTTACAGAGGAATGATATGTATTATCACTGGAATTATTAGAACACTTGAATGATGTGTTAGCTAGAATTCTAAGTGTATGGCTATCTCAAACCACCATCTTGGCTCTCTAGCTAGCACAAATAAATATTGAACACTTCTATTTTTAAGTGAATTAAAATGATCAAATATGAAGGAAAAAATCTACCTGAAAAAGAAACGTGTAACAAGTTTTTCCCCTCCACTCAAATATCTAAGACCCCTGAATTGAGTTCATACTTCTTTCAGAATATATTCCCGTAGATACAAAAGGAAATGTAGGGATAGGAGAGTTTTCATAATCCACTTCTGTGTATGGAAGCTCTTGCATTTAAAAGAAATTATGTCCTAGAAATTTCCAAATTAATTTATTTGGTACTTACAGAACATATAAAAGATGGACCTTAAGGTCATAAGCCTTGAAAGGATTCTTAAATAGTGACTCCATATAGCAGATGAATAATTCCAAGTCCTCTTTCGTCCAGCACTGTATGTTCCAGTTTGCACCTGAATTAAAAATAAACTACATTAAATCTGAAAAACATTCTGAACAACTCAGTGAAAGAGAAGAACTAAATTAAATTTACCAGTGTTCTGATACAACTTCCACTGCCTATTCTGAGAGAAAAAGAACTGGCTCTAACCAGTGGTATGTATCTGCCCAAGTGATCTAGTCCCTTAGGCCTGCAGTTTCCTTTCTGGTAAAGTAAGAGACTTAAATTCAATTACTGCTTCTCAAACTCTTCTTATTTTTTTAATCTTGAACTACTTAAGTAGGACAAAAGTCCTCAAAAGTCACCTAGTTCCGTTCATGCTTGCTTTCTAAGAGAAAAGAAAATATTCAATATCAAGATATGAGCACATGTGGAGCAGTATTTATGTGTCTGCTTTAGCAATAAAAGCAAAGTGATTCACATGTGAACAGTGATTCATGTCTTAAATTCTTGTTATTGTAAATTACAGGCCCCAGATATAACTGATGCAGGCATACTTTCACTGTGCACTGAAAAACTCACCTGGCAATAAATTATTGGCGGGTTGTAATTTAAAAAGCAAGAATAGCAACAATCATAAATAATGGCTCACTTAAGACAACACTAACGTATTCCCCAAACTTGAAGGATTTCTAGCTGGTAGGGATTTTACAACAGTGTTGAACCATTATGAAGTAAACAGCATGCGTGGCAGAATAATCAGCTGAAATCCTCGGTAACCACCACTTAACCTACCGATTTCAGTTACAAAAATTTAAAGTGAGAAGTGACTAGTTATGCAAGCTTTATTTATGTGTAAAACTGAAATCTACGGCATCATAGGGACACCTGGGTGGCTCAATCTGTTTGGCTCAGGTCACAGTCTCACGGCTTGTGGGCTAGAGGTCCTTGTTGACAGCGAGAAGCCTACTTGGGATTCTCTCTCCCTCCCTCTCTCTCTCTACCCCTCCCTCCCTTGCTTCAACACACACCTGCACGTGCTCCCTCTCTCTCTCTCTCAAAAATAAATAAAACTTAAAAAAAAATCTATAACATCATAATCATTTCTCTTCAAAAGTGAAGTACTAACATTTTTTTGACCACTTCAAAGCTCATCACAAAGACCCTGCCTTAATAAGTTCATTCTTGGTATATCCATTGAATTGCTGGAATGGCTAGTTAATTTCCCCTACAAATTAAAAAAAAATGCTTCAATTAAAATTAAGTGAATGTTATGTGGCGCCTGGCTGGTTCGGCCAATTAAGCATCTGACGTTGGCTCAGGTCATGATCTCACGGCTTGTGGGTTTGAGCCCTGCATTGGGCTCTATGCTGACAGCTCAGGTCTGGAGCCTGCTTCGGATTCTGTGTCTCCCCCTCCCTTCCCCTCCCCCACTCGCATTCTGTCTCTCTCTCCCTCAAAAATAAATGAACATTAAAAAAATGTTTGATATTAATAAAAAATTAAGTGAATTTTATTAATCAATGGTTATGGACTCCATTGGAGACACTGGGAATTATTACTACTAACTTGTTTTAAAACTCTGATTTTATTGCATATTTATACTTTGTTCTTAAGCTGATTTCAATAAACCAGAGTGTTTCTTCCATCTAATCAGTGATGCTCAACCAGTGGCAATTTGGCCCTCAGGGACATGTGGCAATGTTTGGAGACATGTTTTGATTGTCACAACTGGGGAAGGAGCTACTTGTATCTAGGTAGAAGCCAGGGATGTTGCTAAACATACTACAATGCACAGAACACACCCCCCCATACCCAAGAATTGTCAGGCCCAAAATGTTAATAAGGTTGAGGTTGAGAAATTCTGATTAACCTTTAACAGAAGTGCTATATTTATGCTTGCCTTTACTTTCATACTGTAGGTCTCTTTGTATTACTGAGTCAATGGATGCTGTTCTGTTAGCTTTTCCAGAAGGCTTGGAAATAATTTTGTTGTTTAGATTTCCAGATGTAGAATTATTAATTATGCTAACTACATTCAGTGTGCATTATACTTCAACAACAAAACCCCCTTGATTTAAAACATGGATTGGCTGGGGCACCTGGGTGGCTCAGTCGGTTAAGCTGCCGACTTCAGCTCAGGTCATGATCTCGCGGTCCGTGAGTTCGAGCCCTGCGTCGGGCTCTGTGCTGACAGCTCAGAGCCTGGAGCCTGTTTCAGATTCTGTGTCTCCCTCTCTCTGACCCTCCCCCACTCATGCTCTGTCTCTCTCTGTCTCAAGAAATAAATAAATGTTAAAAAAAAATTTAAAAAAATAAAAAAAAACATGGATAGGCTGCAGAGAGATTCTTTGCTTGAACAAATATTATTCATAAATGCTTTAAAATTTAACTACTTCTGATGTGCCTGGCTAGCTAAGTCTGTAGCGCATGCAACACTTGGTCTCGGGGTTGTGAGTTCAAGCCCCATGGTGGGTGTAGAGATTACTTTAAAAACTTTTTTTAATCTTAAAAAATTTTTTAACTAATTCAACAGTTGAATGTTTTGAATATTTAATATATTTAACAACATAAGGGGTGATTTTTCTATTTTAAAGCAAATTTAGTGGTGCCTGGGTGGCTTGGTCAGTTGAGAATCCAACTCTTGGTTTTGGCTTAGGTCATGATCCCAGGGTCATGGGATTGCACCCACATTGGACCCTGGGCTGAGTATGGAGCCTGCTTAAGATTCTCTCTCCCTCTTTCTCTCTCTACCCCTTTCCTCTACACATGCTCTCTCTCTAAAATAAAAAATAATAATAATAAAATAAGGCAAACTTAGAAGATTACAAAAAACTGACTTACAGGGTATAGGTAAGAGTTCCCTCATTACATTTTTCTTTTATTTTTATAACATATCAAATAATTTGGGGCTCATTAATTTGGTCACATAACGAATCATAATTTTATTACTAATATAAAATGATGATATGTGTTAAGAATCCCATCCATAAGACATCTATTTTACACAAGTTTCAGAAAACGAAAACATTTTGTTTAAAACAGTTAAAATAACATCTAATGCTCACAACATTAAAATACTTACCTATTTGTTGGAAAACTAAAGAATTCACTGTTGCAACAAATGCCTTCCCTTCCACGTCATCTGCATGTACAGAACAGTTTTTATCTTCCTCGCTCCAAAGGCAACAGTGAAAAGTTTTTTTGGAAGATAAATTAGAAAAGTAGGTACTACTTGAATTAAATTTAGCTTCAACAACTGCCTCATAATGTTCATTCACATTTGAAGTGTTCTTTGACATTCCAGTAGGCAAGAGAAAGTCATAGGTTGTATTTGGTGGCATGCACGACAGCTTAAATCTCCAGGGAGTAATTGGGTATGCCAAGTTAAATGAAGTTATCAAATAAATAAATTCTGTCAGGGTATTAAAAAAGACACATAGAAAAATAATTAATCACTTTGACTAAGACATAAATAGGAAGTATCTAAGATTAAACCATGTAGTGCTCAGTAGTATTTAACTGTCTTAGTGCCCAATCCATGCTTAATGCACAGCTCTGGGTTTCCATTACACAATGTATTATACATTAGTTCATAGAGATAACTTCACTCTTAGCACCTCTTTTTGGAAATTCATGCTTCATTTTCCTCATGAATCTAGCATTCTATATTTATATTTTAATGAAAAAACTATAGCTTAATATTTCAATTACCTTTTCTAAAAAAATATTCTAATGAACTTCCAGTATAAGAGAGAAATAGCTGAATATGCAATTATATAAGCAAGTATTAAAGTTGTTTTAATATTTTTTATTTTTTTTTAATGTGTATTCATCCATTTTTGAGAGAGACAGAGAGCATGAATGGGGGAGGGACAGAGAGAGGGAGACACAGAATCTGAAGCAAGCTCCAGGCTCTGAGCTGTCAGCACAGAGCCCGACGCGGGGCTTGAACTCGCGAATCACAAGATCATGACCTGAGCTGAAATCAGACGTTTAATGGACTGGACCACCTAGGCACCCCTATTTTAATATTTCTTAAAGAGAATAATACCAAAATGTTAGCACTATGAGTGCTTTTCAAAGAGTTTGCTTTCAACATCAGGACAGCTGGATGATCTCTTCTGCCCATGATCCTCAAATATATGACATCATTGAAGGCATGTCCTTAATGTACTCTCCAAGAATCAATGTACAAAGACAAGAAAATTCCATTGCTGATTAAAGACAATTCTCACCTTTTTAGACATAAAAAAAATTAAGAATAATCATATAATCCCATACTCAAAAACTCTCAAAAGTGGTACTTATTTTTTAGGAATTGTCTGAAAATATAATAATAAATTCTCAATAATTCTTTCTTTTACAAGCTACTCAAATAATCCAACAGCTGTGTTGCCTCATATACAAACTAATGCAGAATGAGAATTCTGAGAATTTAGCATAGATTTGCATGGAATGAGAATTTTGAAGAATTAGGGTAAATGTAAAAATATAAGAAAATAGCAATTTTTAAAAAACGAATTCACAAAAATGGTTTCAAACTATAAAAGTAAAACATGTAAAAATATTTAAGCAATATGTAGGTAACAACTGTTAAAGTTTGGTTTCTAAACTTTTCCATTAAAATAAATTAACATAAAAATGTATCAGATGCAGGGGCACCTGGGTGGCTCCTCAGTTAAGCATCCAACTCTTGATTTCAGCTCAGGTCACAATCTCATGAGATCCAGCCCCACTGGTCAAGATTCTCATTCTCTCTCTCTCTCTCTCTGTCTCTCTCTTCCTCTGCTCCTCCTCCACACTTGTACACTCATTCTCTCTCTCTCTCTCTCTCTCTCTCTCTCTCTCAAAATAAAAAAATTTTAAATGTATCAGATGCAAAAACATAAGATAAAATAAGAATATATCAGATGCCTAAATTAAGCCAAATATGACTAACATGACTAATATTATTTTGCCCACACTGACAACAATTAGGTATCATACATTATCAAAAGTGACCCCTCATTACAATTGTGTTCCTTTGGACTTCAATCTTTCTAATATATGTTTCTGAAATCAGAACATGTCAATAAAAAATAAAATAGATTATTTCTTTGGTTTTACAAAACCATCAATATTTGTTGGTATTAATTAAAAGCATTATTTTCTAGCTGCATATGGAAGATTCAGTTGGCTGAACTGAAATGAGCCTAAAATCCTCAAAGAAGTCTTTGAAATTTAAAATGTAATAATGAATGTCATAGACATAATGACTATTGAATCAGCTTAATTAAAAGATGATTCTATTTTTGCATGTTTGTTTTGCAAATAATATTTCTTTCCCTCCAGATGAACCCTAAACAACAGAAACCAGAATTTATTTCTGGAGGCATATGTTATCATGGTAACAACATCCCAAGAACTCTTCTGATTCATAAGACTTCATCAAACAACAAATCTTTTGGAAAGCCAATGTGAAACACGTTGAATGGAGTCTAATAAAAGCTACAGAATATAAGAGAGAATGAGTATGTTGCTACTTTTAGATAGTCCCTTGTGGCATAGTTGTTTTGTTTTTTGTTTTGTTTTGTTTTGAAATCTGTCAACAGTGGGGTTATCCTGGGTATTTGCTGTAAATATACAGATGGCAACAATGAGAAAGAACAGTATGCACAACAAGGAAAACTAGTAGAGAAGCTCCTAAGAGCGCCTTCAGTTTGGATTAGCCAAGGAGAGGCTCAGAACTCACTGACACATAGCTGGACAGCTTGAGGAGCTCCCAATATGGTTCCCAGATAAAATGTTTTTTTTTTTTTTTTAAATAGCCTCACTTTAATTTTAAAAATGGAACATAACCTAAATTAGATGATTTGAGGTTTTTTTAAGTCAGAATATCTCTAGAGTGCGGTCAGAAACAAGTGAGAATAGTATGCTCAAAATTGGCAATATGAGTGACTAATTTCAAACAGAAGCATGCTATTAGTTAAAATCAAGACATTTAAAAAAATCTATAAGCTTTCTCTTGAGGATATTCCTGCAATGGATAGGAGGGAGACTAGTATACATTTAAACTCTGAAAGCATTCTTCTGGTGGTATTCAGGATGGAAAGATATACAGATATAAAGATATACACCATCCCTTGGTAATATCCCTTTATAACATTATACTTGTCATTGTCTACTGGAGTCCTAATGTGAAATAACATTTAAAATGGCATGTCCCTTCCATTTGAGAATAAATCCATTATTTTGTCATAGTCATATATTTTAAATATTATCACCAAGTTAAACAGCTCCTTGATAGAGAACTAGAGTTTTGACTATAATCTGATATATATACATTTATAATTTAATAATACTACATTTACTAAATTAAAATTAAAACATTTAAGTGTCACTGTATCTTGTTTCTACACATGCATAAGGGTGTTAGTATGCATACATAAATTTCTGTACCATAAAAAAAAAACAAAGTTAAAAAGCAAACAATGGGCAGGAAGAAAAATTTGCATAATATTAAATAGTTACAGGCTTGTGATGATTAAGGTTATGTGTCAACTTGTCTATGTTCATGGGGTGCTCAGTCATTTGGTCAAACATTATTCTGGGTGTATCTGTGAGGATGTCTGGATGAACTTAACAACTGAATCAGTAAAATGAGTAAAGCAGATTGCCCTCCGTAAGGTAGACAGGCCTCATGATCGATTGGAGACCTGAATAGAGCAAAAAGGCTGAGTTAAAGGGAACCCCTACTGCCTGACTGACATCAGTCTTTTCCTTCCTTTGGACCCAAACTGAAACATCAGCTCTTCTTGCATCTGAAGCCTTCCAGTGTCCAGACTGGAACTTGTATCATCAGTTCTCCTGGGTTTCCAGCCTGGCAACTACAGGTCACGGGACTTCTCAACCTCCACAATCTTGTGAGTCAATCCTTATAATAAATCTCTTTCTCTCTATATATAAATCCTACCGGTTCTGTTTCTCTGGAAAACCCTAATACAGTACTAAATATCAATTACATTTTAGAAAATCCTAAAAATCACTAAGAATCCAACCACAAAATGGCCAAAGTGTATGATTTAGAAAATCACATAAGAAATATAAATGGTCCATAAACAGTGCTCAACCTCGCAAACAGCCAAATAAATAAAACTGAAATGGGATGCTATGTTTTGCTTATATGACAGAGCAAAAAGACAAAAGAATGATAGTATACATCTTTGACAGAAATGCAATGGGCTGGCGTTCATATATCTGTGGTGGTACCACAAATGCTACAAAGCTTTGTGGAGATTTCACAGTATTCATCAAATTTTAAAATGTGCATACTATGTAATAGAGAATTCCTCCTTAACAACTAATCAGCAGGAATATTCTTCCAAATATACAAAGATATAGATACAGATATATGGATTTCAATGCAGCATTATTTGCTACAGTAAGAGAAATGTCTATCAATGGGGAATTGGTGAAATAAATTAATAATTTAAAGTATATTTATACAGATCATTGTTGTGCAACCATTAAATGAATAAGCATATCAGTAAATACTCAGTAAAAAAAATGTTATCATAATAAATTGAAAAACTATTAAGTAGAAAAAACCAAAAAACAATATGTATAGACCAATTCTATTTTTGTAACCATAGATATGGATTGTGTGTGTTTGTATGTGTTATGGTTCTGGAAAGCTACACATCAGGTTATTCCCAGGAAATTGGGAAGTGTTTTTATTTTCACACTTATGCTTTTGTTTGGTTTGTATTTTTAATCATAAGCATGAGAATTCCGAACTGTGGACAGGAAATTCTGCTAGCCAAAAAGAAACAACATCTCCAACAGCAAAATCTCTTATATACGGACATTTAAAAAGCAGATAACTTACCCCAATGTAACAAAGCCACACAGAATTTTTGACAAATCATCTTACTTCAGAGAGTAGACCTGAAAAACAGCACATCGAAAACAAATACATACATACACACATGCACAAAAACACCTGACATCTATATAAGCTGTCTGGGAAAATATAAAAGGAAAAGGATTATGAACAAGTCTAAATTTAATCCTCTATAATACTCTGCATCAATATCAGAGAAGTGTCTCGCATTAAAGTATAGCTACACATTAAAGGTTTACTCCTGTGTACCTATTTTACACAATTAAAATATAAGCTACCTATTCACATACAGCATAATCAAACATTTTTCAATGTTCCTTTATGCCATGACAAACGAGGACAGGCATCAAAGGATAAGACTATATTTTTAACTGAACAAAAGTGTTCATAATGTTAATTAAATATGTACTCCCATTAATAGCACAGTCTTTTTTTTTATAGCTCAGTTCTTAAATTTCTCTTATTTTCTAAAGCCTTTATCTTTACTATGATACTACAAAGTCAAACAGTTATAGCATAGGTAATCACTGTACATTTGTTTCCAAAAAAAGAGGAGGAAATTTTCCAGTATGTTTTTGGAAACTCCCACCATTTATTTGCAGATAAAGCAATATTCACATTGGAGAGTTATTAGAGTAATTCAAGGAAAGGCTGACGGCTTAATATATCCAAATGATAGGGTGACTTCAAGAGATAAGCTTTCCCATGAAGTCTCCTCATTTTTAAATACATCATGAATGAGATTATTCTTACCAGTATATCATGAATGGTAGCATAATTTTAATATATTGGGATTCAATTTGTAATGAAACCATAAAGGCTTTTGTTGTTCCAGGGTTTTTTGTTATCTCAAACTGGGGATTCAGTTCACTACACAAAAGTTAATCTGAGTTAAAAAGTTCTGAATTAGGTGTCAGGAGTCTTGAATGTCAATCTAGAGTCTTTGACCAGCTGTAGGACTTGGCACTTCAACACTCTAGACCTCAGGTTCCTCATCTACAAATCCTCCTGATGGATGAGCTCAACAATCCCTTTCAGAGATGCTCATGATTCTGAGAGATTTTATTTTAATATAGAAATCACAGCTTTACACAAAGATATTTTCAAATATCAAGTAAGAAACATGTCTCATAAGTCATTACTGACAATTGGTACCATGTGATGAGTAAACAGAAAAACGTACTTGTTTAGTTCACAACTTAATAACTCTCAGGAGGAAAATGGATGAGTATAAACATTTTGTAGTCTGGTCAATTTGTTTTTCAGCCTCTTGCTTTTTCATCAGAAGTTTGGTTCTTTATATACTGACATCACAGTGTGTCTTCAGGATTTCTAAAAATCAGTTTAGTGTTTGGAATCCTCATTATCTAATCATATGATTTTTTTTTTTTTTTTTTGCTACCTGTTTCTGGTACAACATTTTCTCATAAAATAAACCCAAGAGCAAGTTTCATAATCAGGATGTGTCATAGATACAACATATCATTTAACTAAGTGTTTTGAATGAACTGACTGGTGACAAGTAATTCAGTCCAACAACAGATTTGACTCACTTTTAACTCAACTGATCTGCTGACTCAAGTGACCAAACAGACCAGGGTTTTTTTGCTTATATAAGACAAGCATTATTTTCTTTAATGTTCCATGCAAAACACAAACTATTCTGATGGTTTGAATTCTGGTAGTCAGGTTTCACTCTTACTTAACAGAGAAATAATCACAGATATGAAAAAGGCATAGATGAAACCTTGAAGAGAGTGTGAAAGGTGGTACCTTACACAGACCCAATGAGACAAATATTTAAATGACCGACACTGTACCAGAAATGAATAATAAGGAGATTTGCAAAAATACAAATAATACAGAAAAAAGGAACAGAAGTTTCTAAACTGTGAGAAAAAAAAAATCAAGTAAAGGGAAAACTAATGGTAAGGTGGCCAAAATAAGTATAATACACAAAATGCCATTAATTTGAATTCGGTTTTTAAAGATGAGCTATTGGGGCACTTGGGTGGCTCAGCTGGTTAAGTTTTGGACTTCAGCTCAGGTCATGATCTCACTGCTCATGGGTTCAAGCCCCACATCAGGCCCTGTGCTGACAGCTCACAGCCTGGAGCCTGCTTGATTCTGTCTCTCTCTCTCTGTCTCTCTCTGTCTCTCTCTCTCTCTCTCTCTCTCTCTCTCTCTCTCTTTCTCTGCCCCTTCCCTGCTTGTGCTCTCTCAAAAATTAAAAAAAAGTTAAAAAAAATTTAAAGATAAGCTACTGATTTCCCTTATGCTTTCTTATGGTCAAATTGGTCAATTACAAATTCAGAGTACTCAAAATAAAACGTAACCAACAGGGGCGCCTGGGTGGCGCAGTCGGTTAAGCGTCCGACTTCAGCCAGGTCACGATCTCGCGGTCCGTGAGTTCGAGCCCCGCGTCGGGCTCTGGGCTGATGGCTCAGAGCCTGGAGCCTGTTTCCAATTCTGTGTCTCCCTCTCTCTCTGCCCCTCTCCCATTCATGCTCTGTCTCTCTCTGTCCCAAAAATAAATAAACGTTGAAAAAAAAAAAAAACGTAACCAACAGCTCAGGGGAAATGTTCAAATAATCCTAACAGTAAGAACAGAAAGAAATTTTGCCTGAGTAACTTCAAAACAGGTAACATCCTCATGAACACTCTCACAATACCAGAGTTTCATGTGAACCTCAAAATCCAATAATTTCTCAGCCCCTCCATTGCCAATACCCTATTCTAAGTCACCATTATCTCTTCCCTGGACAGTCGGAAGGGCCTCCTAACTGGTCTCCCTGCTGTTGCCCTTACTCTCCAGTTCAGTCTATTCTCAATGCTGCAGCCAGAGTGGTCTTGTTAACACATAGGTCAGATCATGCCTGTCTTACCCCAAACACGGTCGTACTCTCCTTTTCACTCTGCGTAAAAGTCCGAGCCCTGCATAGAACTACAAGGTCCTGGATCTCTGTCGCCTCTCTGACCTCATCAACCACTGCTCTTCTCTTTGTTCAAGTCACCTTCTCAGAGGAGCCTTTCCTGACTAGCCCATCTACAATTTCAACCCAGCATGTCATATCTGCTGAATTTTCTTCTTATTATTACTTCACACTGTCTAATGTGAATATGACTTGTTTTTCTTGTTTATTGTTTAACTCTCCCCACTGGAATATAAACTCCACTAGACCAAGGGATTTTTTTTTACTATCCTTTCACCATTATATCCTTCTCACATAGAAGCCTGCCTCTCACATAGTAGGGGCTCTCTATACACTCACTGAATGAGTGAGTGAATGAATGCACGATATGACTCTTTCTTGATATATTCTTAAAAATAGGCTGGTAGCATCATACCAAGAAAATAACAGCAATCTTTAAAAGAGGTGTTCTGTGGACACCAAAGATGTGATACACACACACACACACACACACACACACACACACACACGAATATTATACAACCATAAAAAAGGATGAGATCCTGCATTTGTTACAACATGGATGCTAAGTGTAGTAAGTTAAACTGGGAGAGACAAATACCATATGATTTCACTCATGTGGAATCTAAAAAACAAAACAAATGAATACACAAACCAAAAGTAGAATAAGACCTCTAAATACAGAGAACTGATGTTTGCCAGGGGGGAGCTGGGGGGATGGGCAAAATGGGTGAAGGAGAGTGGGAGATATAGGCTTCCAGTTATGGAATGAATATGTCACAGGAATAAAAGTCATAGCATAAGGAATATAGTCAAGGATATTGTAATAATGTTATATGGTGACAGACGGTAGTTACAGTCTGTCTGTCTGTCTATGCTGTGGTGAACATAGCATAATGTATAAACTTATTGAATCACTATGTTGTACATCTAAAACTAATGTAATTTTATGTGTCAACTATACTCAAATTAAAAAAAAATTAAAGAGGCATTCTAATAAAAACCCATCTTTGAGAACCAGATTTAATTCCAGAGAAAATTTCAGAATGGTGATTCTTAACCATTTTTAAATATGCATCTTGTTGAGAAGTTGGTGAGAGCAAGGTACCAACTGCCAGGAAGAGACACATATATACAAAATTACGCCTATAATATCAGAGGGTTAACAAATTCTCTGAAATTTATTCAAAGCTCCCATATTAAGTCCTGATGTAGCTAAATGAACAGAGTTCACACTCCTCCATCAATCCTCCATAAGTATAGCTCCTATGAATCGAGCCATTGATAGACACCGAATTGTGAGGAGTTTGAGATAATATTGCCTAACATTCCCCCTGGAATGTAGTCATTCTATGTTGACAGTTAAAACACTTAAGTGTTTTATTTGAAATCTCCATAAAGTATACAAAGATTCATCCACAGTCTGATCTAAATGATCCCTCCATAATACCTGGATGTGCAGTCAGTAATTCAAATTTCATCTTTTTCTATAATTTTTTAATGTTTATTTTTGAGAGAGAGAGAGAAATAGAGACAGTGCGAGTGGGGGAGGGACAGAGAGAGAGAGAAGAAGACAGAATCTGAAGCAGGCTCCAGGCTCTGAGCTGTCAGCAAAAAGCCTGATGCAGAGCTACAATTCATGAAGCACAAGATCATGACCTGAGCCAAAGTTGTACACTTAACTGACTCATAATACAACAGAGTAAGCATATTATATCACTAACTCTTCAGCTATTACTATCATGGAAAATTCTTTGTGTATTTTTATGTATAAAATTCTACTTAAATATAAAGCAGAATAGTCTCAATTAATGTTTGAATGAGTGGGAAGAAAAAGAAATTATTTACAACTTGCTCTAATGATCTCACCAAGTCTCTAGTTTGTAGAAAAGTTTATGAGTAAGAAAAGCAATTCTGACAATTCTGTTGTCTTGATGAGTAAACTCAATGAGTTCCATCTGCCACTAATTCTTGCTTTTACTTTCTGCTAGAGAGGCACCCATCTTTCACTTAAAAAACAACATTTAAGTATTTTGTTTAAATATAAATGAAAAACACTATTTCTTCAAGTGTCAAAATAAATAAGCTTGGTCTAGCTCTACTAACCTTGT